GATGTGAGAGTTGGACTATAAAGAAAGCTGAGCACTGAAGAATTGATGCTTTTGAACTGTGGTGTTGGAGAAGACTCTTGAGAGTCCCTTGGACTGCAAGGAGATACAACCAGCCCATCCGAAAGGAAATAAGTCCTGAATGTTCATTGGAAGGACTGATGTTGAGGCTGAAACTCCAATACTTTGGCCACCTTATGCGAAGAGCTGACTCATTTGAAAAGACCCTGATGCTGGGAAAGATTGAAGGCAGGAGGAGAAGGGGACAACAGAGGATGAGATAGTTGGTTGCCATCATGACCTCAATAGGCATGAGTTTGAATAAACTCCGGAAGTTGGTGATGGACAAGGAAGACTGGCGTGGTGCAGTACATGGAGTCAGAAAGAGTTGGACACGACTGAGCCACTGAACTGAACTGAGCTGAACTGAGAGATTGGAAATGTGCGTGTATTATCTGTCTAACCTGATTGAATCACTTGAGTCTTTATGCATTCTATTAGTTTCTTATGCCTGTTGTAACAAATTGTCACAAACTTAGTGGCTTAAAACAATAGAAATGTATTATCTCACAGTTTTGCAGGCCAGAAGTTTTAATTACATATCACTGGGCTGAAATCAAAGTTTTGACAGCACTGTACACTCTCCAGAAGCTATCTAAAAGAGAATCTTCCTTGTTTCCTCTAGTCTCATGACTTTCAGCATTCATTGTCTTTTGTCTCCCTACTTTGTCGTCACATCACCTAATTCTCTTTGTGTAGTGAAATTTCTTTGTGATTCTGTTTTAAGGGCATTTACTATTTCATTTAGGACACACCAGTCTTATTTTAGCTACATCTGGATAGACTTTCTCTCAAATATGGTGACGTTTACAGATTCCAGAGATTAGGACCTGATATTTTAAGGAGAGCATTTTTTAGCTTTCCACAATTTATGATCTGGCTTCCAATGAGTCATATGCATCCCTCTTGCAGAATGCTTTCATTCCATCCCAACATCCCCCCAGATCTTAACCCATTAGAGTATCAACTCAAGTCTAAAAATCCCATCGCACTTTCATTAGCTCCACAGTCTCAAATATTATCTGAATAATTCAGTCAAGATGGGGGAGATTCTGGGTATGATCCATCATCAGATAAAATTTTTCCCCATCTGCAGACCACTGAAGCTGGAAAATAAGTTATCTATTTCCACAAGAGTAGTGGGACATGTACAGTACAGCAGTTATAGCCATTCCCATTCCAAAAGGGAGAAAATTTTTTTAAAAGATGTCATCAATTTCAAGCAATTTCAAAATCCAGTTGGGAAATTTTCACTAGGTTTCAAGGCCTAGAAGTAAATCCTCTGTGGCTCTCACTTTGCCCAACAGCTCTAGTCTGTCCTGTCACAGTCATTCTTTTCTTGAAGTGTAGCGCATTTGCAACAGAATGATTGATAAACCTGTTTCATGCCAGTAGAGTTTTAGAATTTTGACAGTCTTTTTTTGCTTCATCTTGTCTCTGCCCTGATCAGGCCAAACTTGTAGTGCTTCTGCTGATATGATATGTGCATGAAGGTCTCCTATGTATGCTATGAGAATTAACACCGTTAGGAAAGAAGGTTCACAACAGATCTTTCCAAGATAATCACATCTCTATTCCCGGCTTTTGTTGAGATGTCTGAGTGGGTCCGTGCCTGATTTCTTCATCACTAGCAAAAGGTTGCTCCTTCATGGATCACAGCCTGTCCTATGGAAGGGACTTGCATAGCTCAGTGAAACTATGAGCCATGCTGTGCAGGGCCACCCAAGACAGACAGGTCATAGTGAAGAGTTCTGACAAAACTTGGTCTACTGAAAGAGGAAATGGAAACCTACTTCAGTATTCTTGCATGGACAGTATGAAAAGGCAAAAAGATATGAAACTGGAAGATGAGTCTCCGGGTCTGAAGGTATCCAGTGTGATACACGGGAAATGCATGCTCAGTCACTCATTTGTATCCTTCTCTTAGCAACCCCATGGACTGTAGCCCACCAGACTCCTCTGTCAGTGGGATTTTCCAGGTAAGAATACTGGAGTGGGTTGACATTTCCTCATCCAGGGGATCTTCCTGACCCTGGGGTTGAACCAAAGTCTCCTGCATCTCCTGCATTGGCAAGCAGATGCATTACCATTGAGTTTCAGAGAAATTACTAATGGTTCTGGAAAGAATGAAGTGGCTATGTCAAAGCAGAAATGACGCTCAGCTGTGGATGTATCTGGTGGTTATAGTAAAGTCTAGTGCCGTAAAGAACGATATTGTGTAGGAACCTGAATGTTAGGTCTATGAATCAGGATAAGTTGGACATGGTCAAGCAGGAGATGGAAAGATTGGAAAGATTAAACATCAACATTATATAAATCAGTGAACTAAAATGGACAGCAATAGATGATTTTAATTCACTTGACCATTGTATCTACTACTATGGGCAAGAATCCTTTAGAAGAAATGGAATAGCCCTTATAATCGCCAAAAGAGTCTGAAATACCGTCCTTGGGTGCAATCTTAAAACCAACAGAATGATCTCAGTTCATTTCCAAGGCAAACCATTCAACATCACTGTAATCCAAGTCCGTGTCCTGACCACTGATGCAGAAGAAGCTGAATTTGACTGGTTCTAGGNTTCCTTAAAGAGAATGTCCTAATTTTAACATATTCTGCAGTCCTCATAGGTTCAAAACTTTCAATATCAGGAAGTGATAGTTATTTTTTACTCCACAGTTCTTTCTTCAACCTACCTTTTTCCTCTCATGTTTTCACATGGGCAGCAAGAAGCAGCAAGGATGCATAATCAACACTTTGCTTGAAAATCTGTTCTCCTAAATATCCAAGCTTATCTCTTAAAAGTTCTGCTTTCCACACAACTGTAAGATTCAATTCAGTTAGATTTTTGACCGCAATATAACACAAGTCTCCTCTCTTTCTCAAGTTTCCAATAACATTTTCCTTATTTTCTTCTGAGCCCTCAATAACACCGCGTTAACATTTTTCTATCTGTGCTGATCTGTGTATTCTCTAACATGATACATTCTTTTTCTACTGTTTCTTCACTTCCTCCTGAGCTCTCATTGGCAGTGTCTTTAACACCCGTATTTCTATCAATAATTTATTTAGAGCATGTGGATTTTTCAGTAAGGTCCACCGTTTTGTTTTTTTGTTTTTTTCCTATCATTTCTATCATCTGCCCTCTACCCACTTCTGAAGCTCTGTCTACATTTTTGGGTATTTGATATAGTAGCATCTCACTTCCCATTACCAAAATCTGTTTTAGTTTCCTGTGCTGCTATAACAAATTACCACAAACTTGGTGGCTTAAAACAGTAGAACTTTTTTTTTCTTACAGTTTTATAGGCCAGAAATCCAAAATAAGTCTCACTGACCTGAAACGAAGGTTTTGGCGAAATCACTCTGTGTCTGCAAGATTTAGGGGAAAATCTATTTCTTTCTTTTGCCAGATTTTGGTGACTGTCAGTGTTGTTTCTCTCGTGTCACATTACTCCAATTTCTGCTTCTGCCTTCACATCACCTTCTTCTCTTTTGCCTGTGAAATTTAGACTACTTCTCTCTTACTACAAGGACACTTGTTATGGCATTTAGGGCACATCCAGATAATCCAAGATGCTCTCCACATCTCAAGATATTTAACATAATCACATCTGAAAAAATTCTTTTTATTTTCCCAAATAAGGTAACATGTACTCTTTCCAGAGATTAGTATCTGATATCTTTGGGAGTGCCATTTTCAGTCTACTATATACATACCCCATGTTGAATTATTATTTCCGTGAAGCTTGAACAAATTGGCTGGGAGTAGATCAGTGGGAATATTCGGTAGGGGCTTTGCTTGCCCCTACCTTTAACTTGCTAGTTAAAATGTCTCCTATGTACTCGTATTAATCTCTTCCCAGAGACTGGCTAAAGAGCAAGTGATCTGTAAAAAGAAGAATCTTTTTTGCTTATATGTTATAAAAATTAAAAATAGATAAGAGTAAAAATTTCACACAGAACCAAGATATATGAATATTTAACTTAGTTTTATTACACATATACTCTAAAGAGTTGAGGACTTGATTAAAGACTGATTAACAGTAAAACATATGCTCTCTGGACTAATTCACCTACTGTAACCTATCAATGTGTAATCTAATGATGGTTTGATTTTTTTTTTTTTTCCAATGGAGGGTCATAGACTTTTAGAGCCAAAGGGATCCCTGAAATTGTCCATTTTAATTCCTTTACTTTTCTTTGTGGGGCTTCCCTGGGGGCTCAGTGGTAAAGAATCCACTTGCCAACGCACTTCAATCCCTGGGTTGGGGAAAATCCCCTGGAGAAGGAAATGTCAACCCACTCCAGTATTTTTGCCTGGGAAGTCCTGTGGACAGAGGAGCCTGGTGGGCTACAATCCATGGAGGTGGCAAAAGAGTTAGACACGACTTAATGACCAAGCAACAACTTTTCTTTACAGATGAAATAATAGATCCATATGGATACCCTTCTTGCCACGGTCACAAAGTTAGCTTGCAGAAGTTCTCCATGCTTTTGTTTTGTGTTTTTTTTTTCCTTTTGCCTCGTTTTTAGTGTTCTGATCTTTTAGACCTGTTGCTGACCTTCATTGTGTCACAGAGTTCTATGTAGCATTTTACATGATTAACCATTCCTAATATAGAAAATTCTAGATAATAACTTTCTCCCAGAACTCACTTCAGATATATGGGGCAC